TGCATCAAATCTGTTCTTTAGATGGTCTCTAAATTCAGGAGGGATATATTCAAGGTCATATTTTGGCTCTCATGGACTTGTTTTAATTGTCTTCAACTTCAAGTTGAAGTTGTATATGAGCAGTTGATGGTCTGTTCCACAATCAGCTCCTGGCCTTGTTTTGGCTGAAGACATTGAGCTTTTCCATTGCCTCTTGCCACAGATATAGTGAATCTGATTCCTGTATACTCCATCTGGCGAAGTCGACATGTATAGCTGCCATTTGTGTTATTGAAAAAAGATATTTGCAATGAATAAGTTGTTGGTCTTGCAAAATTCTATCATGTAATCTCCAGTGTTATTTCTGTCACCAAGGCCAAATTTTCCAACTACCGGTGATTCTTCTTTGTTTCCAACTTTTGCATTCCAGTTACCAGTGATAATTAACACATCTTGATTGCACATTTGGTCGATTTCAGACTGCAGAAATTGATAAAAATCTTCAATTTCTTAATCTTTGGCTTTGGTGGTTGGTGCATAAATTTGAATAATAGTCGTATTAATTGGTCTTCCTTGTAGGCTTATGGATATTATCCTGTCACTGATGGCATTGTACTTCAGAACAGATCTTGAAACATCCTTTGTGATGATGAATGCCATGCCATTCCTCTTCAAATTGTCATTCTCGGCATAGTAGATCATATGGTTGTCTGGTTCAGAATGGCCAAAACCAGTCAATTTCAGCTCACTAATGCCTAGGATATCAATCTTTATGTGTTCTAATGACGAAAACCTGAAGAATTGTGGGATGACATCAAGAACATCATCCATGAAGAAAGCAAGAGGTCATTAAAAAGACAAGAAAAGAAGAAAAGACCAAAATGCATGTCAGAAGAGACTGAAACTTGCCCTTGAGTGGAGAGTAGCTGAAGCAAATGGAAGAAATGACAAGATAAAAGAGCTGAATAGAAGATTTTAAAGAGCAGCTTGAGCAGACAAAGCCAATTACTGTAATGAAATGAGCAGAGTCCTGGAGTTAGAAAACCAAAAGGGAACAACATGCTCGATATTTCTCAATCTGAAAGAACTGAAGAAAAAATTTAAGCCTCAAGTTGCAATATTGAAAGATTCTATGTGCAAAATATTGAATGATGCAGGAAGCATCAAAAGAAGATGGAAGGAATACACAGAGTCACTGCACCAAAAAGAACTGGTTGATCTTAATCCATTTCAGGAAGTGACATATGTTCAAGAACCAATGGTATTGAAGGAAGAAGTCAAAGCTGCACTGAAGGAATTGGAGAAGAACAAAGTTCCAGGAATTGATGGAATACCCATTGAGATGTTTCAACAAACTAATGCCCCGCTGGAGACACTCACTCGGTTATGCCAAGAGATTTGAAAGACAGCTACCTGACCAACTGACTGGAAGACATCCATATTTGTGCCCATTCCAAAGGAAAGTGATCCCACAGAATGTGGAAATTATCAATTTATTAATAGTAATATTATTAATAATTATTAATATTGCACACAAGTAAAATTTTAATGAAGATAATTCAAAAATCTTTGCAGCAGTATGTTGACAGAGAACTTCTAGAGGTGCAAGCTGGATTCAGAAGAGGGCGTGCAACAAGGAATATCACTGCTGAAGTCAGATGGATCTTGGCTCAAAGCAAAGAATACCAGAAAGATGTTTGCCTGTGTTTTAGTGACTGTGCCAAAGCATTTGATTGTGTAGGTCATAACAAACTGTGGATAACATTGAGAAGAATGGGAATTCCAGAACACTTAATTGTACTCATGAGGAACTTATGCATAGACGAGGAGGCTATCATTTGAATAGAACAAGGGGACACTGTGCGGTTTAAAATCAAGAAGGGAATGCATCAGGGTTGTATCCTTTCGCCACTTATTCAATCTATGTGCTGAGCAAATAATCCGAGAAGCTGGACTGTATGAAGAAGAACGTGGCATCACGATTGGAGGAATGCTCAGTAACAACCTGCGATCCACTGACAACACAACTTTGCTTGCCAAAGGTGGAGATGGCTTGAAACACTTACTGATGAAGATTGAAGAATACAGTCTGCAGTATGGATTACATCTCAATATAAAGAAAACAACAATCCTCACAACTTTACCTAAAAGCAGCATCACAATAAATGGAGAACAGATGGAAGTTGTCAAAGACTTCACATTGCTTGGTTCTGCAATTGAGCTAATGGAAGCAGCAGTCAGGACATCAGATGACGTATATCACTGGGCAAGTTGGCTGCAAAGGACCTCTTTCAAGTGGTGAGGAGCAAAGATGTCTCCTTGAGGACTAAGTTGCACCTGACACAAGCTATGGTATTTTCAGTCACCTCATATGTGTGTGAGAGCCGGACAATGAATAAGGAAGACTGAAGAAGAATTGATGCTTTTGAGTTGTGGTGCTGCCGAAGAATGCTGAAAGTACCATGGACTGCTAAAAGAAAGAACTAACAAATCTGTCCTTGAGGAAGTGCAGCGGGAATGCTCCTTGGAAGTGAGAATGGCCAGACTTTGTTTCATCTACTTTGATCATGTTTTCAGAA